CCTACTAAGAGGTGTCTTGCTCCCTTCCTCCCTCTGTGAAAGAATTGAATCATAAGTGCCATCCGTCCCAGACAGATCCGGCCAGGTCCTTTGGGGTTTAATGATGTGTCTGAGCTATTTTCTTGGGTGAAGGTGAAAAAAAAAATTCTCTGGCGGCAGATAGAAGTGACTTGTGAGGCAGGGACACTAAGTATTGGTTTACAGTCCCTTGTCTGCTGCCTTTGCTGTTGGTGATGGAATCCCAACCTAGCCACAGTTCCATGGTCATGGAAGTTAATGCTGCACCTGCAGCATTATCCAGAGAAATGGACAAATGCTGGCTGTCGCTACAGGATACGTCCAGAGATGGACAAAGCACAAGATGCATCAGCTGGCTGTATCGTCCAGCTTTTTCCAATTGAGAAGTTGTAGGTTTCCTATAAAATAGAGTCAGTATTCTAAAAAGCAGAGAGTGGTTACAGTCCTTTCAAGCTAGTGGTTGATGTCCTCATTAAGAGAGAAATCAGATGCTGCCACAGAGCCCCCTCCCTCACCCAGACTCCCTCCCAGGGCCCACATGCCCTTCTGCACCTCAACCCCCTGCCCCAGCCCTGAGCCCCCTCCTGCACCCAAACTCGCTCCCAGACCCCTCATCCCCAGTCCCATACTAGAGCCTGCACCCCCAGCCGAGCTCTCACCCTTCCACACCCCAACCCCATGCCCTAGCCCGGTGAAAATGAGCGAGTGAACAAGGGTGGGGAAGAGTGAGCGACAGAAGGAGGGGGGATGGAGTGAGCGGGGGCAGAGCAAGAGTGTTTGGTTTTCTGCAATCATAAAGTTAGCAGCCCTACCCAGAACAGGACTCCTGAACTGTACCCCAAGAAGAATCCCAGGATTCTTTCTTTCTTAGTTGAGGTTGTGGATACATAGGAAACTTGATTCTTCTGGGTTTTCTGTATATCACTTTCCAGCAGTTCTCAAACTGTGGGTCGGGACCGCAAAGTGGGTCGCGACCCAATTTTAATGGAGTTGCCAGGGCTGGCTTAGACTTTCTGGGGCCCGGGGCTGAAGCCCGAGCCCTGCCACCTGGGGCCCAGGCCCAAGTCCAAGGGCTTCAGCCCTGGGTGGCAGGGCTCAGGTTACAGGCCTCCTGCTTGGGGCTGAAGTAGGGTGACCACACAGCAAATGTGAAAAATCGGGACGGGGGTGGGGGGTAATAGGAGCCTATATAAGAAAAAGACCCCAAAATCGGGACTGTCCCTATAAAATCTGGGCATCTGGTCACCCTAGGCTGAAGCCCTTGGGCTTTGGCTTTGGCCTCCTGACCCAGGACAGCGGGGCTCAGGTGGGCTCAGATTTCAGTCCCCCCTCCTGGGGTAGTGTAGTAATTTTTGTTGTCAGAGGGGGATTGCAGTGCAATGAAGTTTGAAAACCCCTGTTCTAGTCTGTCCTTCTGTACATCAGAGGCCATTACATTTTACCCATCTATCCCTGTGTTAAGTCTAATCATTTGTGTTTGACTGAAGCATAACTTCCAGAAAGGCAGCTAGGCTTGATTTGAAGACATTACGAGATGGAGAATCCACTGAAGTAGTTTACTGTACATGCAGCTTGAGGTCATAAGTCAGGGTACTAGAAGAACTCTGAATATAAAGGCTTATTTTAAAAAATATTTTGTGCTAAATTTGGTGTCAGGGTTTTTTCCTGCTAGTTTGTTTTCCTATATATATATGTATATATATAAATTTATGGTTGTTAATACATTGCCTAATACAGAACATATTTGTGCAAGGATAGAGTAAATTATATCAGTTAAGTAACTGTAACTAGGAATTTCCACAAAAATCCATTGCAGCTGAGAAGTCAGTTTACCACTGTGTCAGCGCTCCATTATGCTTTTACTCTCTATGGACCTGATCCAAAGCCTTTTGAAGTCAAGATTTCAGGGCTTTAGATCAAACCTTATGTCCTTAACTCATTAATGTCTTTAATGCACTGTGCTCATATTGTGAATATATAACATGTCTGTATCTTTGATGCTCTCAGCCATCAACTGAGAGTCAGATTTCAGTTCTTGTCAGATTTCAGCTGCTATTTCCCTTATTTGTGGAAAGGGATGCTGTATCATCAGAAGAGATCTTAATACTGATGTGGGGTTGAAGGCTTAAATGCTTGGCAGTTTGGTGATTTTTAGACTCTTTTATCTCTTTCACTGGTTCAGATCCAGTCTAGGTAGCAGTTGAAATCAGTTGTGATCTAAAGGCTGTTCATAGCCTATTTTCAATGAATTGATAGTCTTAGTACAGCTCTTAATGAACAGGTGTCCACATCACAGAAAACAACATCACAACCAGAACAGGAGTACTTGTGGCACCTTAGAGACTAACAAATTTATTAGAGCATAAGATGCATATGCATCCGAAGAAGTGGGCTGTAGTCCACGAAAGCTTATGCTCTAATAAATTTGTTAGTCTCTAAGGTGCCACAAGTACTCCTGTTCTTTTTGCGGATACAGACTAACACGGCTGCTACTCTGAAACATCACAACTAGTACTCCTGTTGGCAGGCCGTGGCTGAGGGTGACATTCACCATCCTCAGGAATAGCCCAAGTAATTGAGCTTATCCTGTCGATCTCTAGAGGGTACTTCACATCCTCTATTTGTTTTTTCTACCATGTGGCCCCTCTACAGCATGCAAGGGGCTGTGGTGACCACTTGCTCAGCTCTTGCGCCTGTTTACCCACACATAGGTAGATTTCCCATATGTCTCTAATGCATTGGCCTTCCACACCAAAGTGAATTTCACCCTCAAGGGGCATAGCGTCTAAAACAGTGGTTCTCAACCTTTTGTACTGGTGACCCCTTTCACACAGGAAGCCTCTGAGCTCGACCCCCCCTTATAAATTAAAAAAAAACATTTTTATATATTTAACACCATTATAAATGCTGGATGCAAAGCAGGGTTTGGGGTGTAGGCTGGCTCACGACCCTCCATGTAATAACCTCACAACCCCCTGATGGGTCCCTACCCCCAGTTTGAGAACTCCTGGTCTAAAATATTCTCTCTGTAGAAGTTATCCCTGAGGTCAGGGTTGAGATATGGTGGCGGAGGGGTGTGGGAAAATTTGCATTGTCACGGCCCATGGTATATTGATCTATTTTGTGGATACATGGGAAACTTGATTCTTCTGGGTTTTCGGTATATCACTTTCCATTAGTACTAAATTCAGAGTTTTCATTTATTTCATTTTGTCTCATCTGATCTTGGTTTCCACAGAAAAGCTGCCAGCAGCTAAGTCTGTGAGATTTCCATTTTTGCCTGCTCAGCAGTGAAAATGCTGGCTTCTGAAAACCACCTACTAATTTTAGGGGCCCAAATGCTCCTAAATCGTAAAGTCTGTGGTACTTTTTTTTTAGAAAACAGATACAAATTTCAACAGGAACTTTGCCAAGGTCTCTACATTTTAAAAATAAAAAAGTTTTAGGAACTTTTTATATCTTTAGTTTAAAAACTTTTTTAAATCTATGCCATAGCAAAGCATGCAGTTATACTGGATACCTACTCTTTTCAGTTAGAAGGCTTTTGACCAAAGCATGCAGATATTTGATATAGCTCTATAGCTTGTTCTGTTTTTATATATGCCACATTAACCGTAGATACTGACATAACATCATATCTGTAAATATCAATTCAAAATAAAAGGGAAAATTCTAATGGGAGAAAAATGGGAATTGAAGAGTGTCTGGCGGTGTCAAAGTAAAAAGCAGAAAGGTAAAATGAGAGTACTGTGATGATTGTAAATTTAAAATTACAGTGAAATTACCTGATCAGAAATTACTCTAGAAATCTCTTTATATATATATTTATATATTCACTTTATCTTCAGCTTGAAAATGCTATAGGAACTCGTGGCAGTGGTGGTGCTTTGTCCCCATGCTGGCACAAGTCCAAAGAATAGCTTTTTCAATGTGTCTTTTTACTGAATATCAAATAGAAAATTATTTCTTGAAGACAATGTGCCTGACACTGCAAACAGAGACGATGACATTCTCTGTCCAAGTGATTTTGTAATCTACAATAACTATGGTTGCCCATATTGGTTGGATGTATTCCTGGAGGTTTCATCACATGACAGAATCTTTAATTAAATAATTTAGTTCCTGGAGACTCCAGGACAGTCCTGGAGGGTTGTTAACCCTAACAATAACTCAGACAGTGCAGTTTAATTACTTATTACACACAAAAAACTAAGTTACAAGAACATTATTAAGGCGCAATACCAAGCACTCAAAGGTTAGGAAATGCCAGAATTGAGGTTGCCTGTGAATCTTAATTCATTCCTCCTTGTGCATGTGCATTAAGATACAGACTTTAATCATATGATCACATACTATGAACTCTATGGCAGAGGCAGAGATAGAATTCAGTTTCCCAGGGCAGCATTCAACTCCCTTAACCATGGGACTGTCCTTTTTCTTCCTGCAATTCCCTGCCTCATTTAATTTACAACACGCACTTTCCAACTAATGAAGCAAAGAGGGATAGCTCAGTGGTTTGAGCATTGGCTTGCTAAACCTAGGGTTGTGAGTTCAATCCTTGAGGGGGCCACTTAGGGATCTGGGCCAAAAATCTATCAGGGACCAGTACTTAGTCCTGCTGTGAAGGCAGGGGACTGGACTCAATGACCTTTCAAAGTCCCTTCCAGCTCTATGAGATAAGTATATCTCCTTTCAGTATACAACCCTCTTTGATTCCCAGAGCAGATCCGCATCTTGGCCACTGAATGAGGCAGGGTCCCATGGAAAAATAGTTTGAGATTATATAATTAAAGACTGTATCACAATGCACATAGACAAGAGGGCTGAACTAAGGTTGCACAGGCAATCTTAATTCTGGGCTTTCCTAAATTTTGAGTGCTTGAATATGCAACTTTAATGTTCTTTTAACCTAGGGGTTGTTTTGTTTTTTGGCATGTGTAATTTCATAGGTTTTTAAAAAAGCAAACTGAAAATAACAAATTCCATCATGTGGCATATGGGTCATCAGCAGGGTTGGAACCTTTCTACTGCACAGACCTCTGCCACTTGAGCTAACTGAGTTACTGATAGCAGTAGTAGGTTGTAATCCTATACGTGGATCAGCACCACAGGGGATGACACACTTTGCCCATGGCTTTCAGATATCTGTTGACAGCAGGAAACTTGGGCTCCACTTCAGGCTCTGAAGGGAATTGTGCTGGTGGGCACAGACTCTTCTGCCCATTCCCCCCAAAGCTTGACACTCTCTCCCTCGTCCCCTCCAACCTGTCCCAGCCTGCCTCTTCCCCACACCTTGCTGTTTCCCTGTTTCAGTTCCTTTCTCCCTGCCCAACTAGTCCCCCTTCCACCTCAACTCCTTGCCCAGCCAGTCCTCGTTCTCCCCTCCTGGCACCTTGTCTGATCTATCTCTCCCTCCACCCCTCGGTGTCATCCTACTCCCAATTCTTGGGCTCCTCATCCAGTCTCAGTCTGCACCCACCCTGCCTGACAACTTGCCCCAGTCTCTTTGTCCAGCCAGTCCCAGGTCTCCCCCTGAACCATGGCTCCTTGTCAGATCTGTCTCTCCATCCTCCTAATGGTTTCCAGTCCCAGTCTCCCCCCACCTCACAGTTCCCTGTCTAATCTTGGTGCCCACCCCCCACTTACTGGTTTTCTGTTGTCTTTCCCTATTCTCCATATTCCTCATTGGCTCCCAGTCCCAGCCCCACTTGCCCAGCCAGTCCCAGTTTCTGCTCCCAGTCTCATCATCCTCCTTGTCCCAATCTCCTTTCCCTTCCCTGGTTCAGCTCTTGTCTCCTCTGGATTTGAATCAGACATGCTTTCTCCAGGCTGCCTGGGTGCCAGCAGGGAGGTCTCTGAGAACACTGGAGAGACAGGCTCCCTGAGGTTGGTTCCCGTGCTCAGCCTCACCCTGGCCTGGTGTAGCCATTACAGGAAGAGTCTTAAGGTATGTCTCCACCGCAGTTTAAAAACCCATGGCTGTGCCAGCTGACTTGGGCTTGCGGGACTCGGCTGCGGGGCTGCTTAACTGTGGTGTAGACATTTGAAGCCCAAACTCTGGGACCCTCCCACTCCCAGGGTCCTAGAGCCCAGGCTCCAGCCCAAGCCCGAATGTCTACACTGCAGTTAAACAGCCCCTTAGCCTGAGCCCCGCAAGCTCAAGTCACATGGTACAGGCCAGCCGCGGGTATTTAATTGCAGTATAGACATACAGTTAGTGAGCCCCTAGAGCATGCTCATTTGCTCTGTGGGGATAGTACATGCATGGTCTGGTCAGCACTAGGATCTGTGAGAGGCTCGAGCATGCTCAGTGAGGACAGAATCTGGAGATTTTAGCTGGTAAAATCAAAAAAGCCTCTACTGAGCTTGTGTGAACTGTGATTTTTCCAAGGCTTATAATTTGGCCAGATTTGCGTAGATTTTCATGAGATAGCCTTTGTGTCAGGGATGTGCATTTTGCCATCTCCCCGCCAAATTTAAAGTCGTAACTCCAACGAGGGTAGCTGAACCTTTTCAAAGAAAAGATCAGCAGAATTTTTTAACATGGGCAAAATGATGTATTTTTCCCTAGCCTCGTTGTCAGAAATGATGGAACCATTTTGGCTGATATTCCACTACACCCCCTAAAATCAGCTTGAGGCAGACCCCTGGCATGGAAAATTTCAGCCCAAATAGTTAGTTTGGCCAAATTATAAGCAACAGAAAACAGGGTCTTATAATGGAAATGTCAGACAACCTTAAAATAGGTGGTGCCACCAGCTTTGCCTATAATTATTTCTGCACTGAAGGTCCAGTATTCAGGCACTGCTGTTTTTAAATACACCGACACATAAAATACATATGACAAGTTACTGTCGAGCTTGGAAGAAAAAGAGTGCTTTAAGAATGGATTTGAATTAGTAAGGTGCTATTAGTAACTACTAAAATGTTAATGTAAGCGTTCCCTAAGTACTTGTATGCCCCCTATTATTATAGTATCTGAGCATTGTACCTGTTACCAGCATCAGCCCACTGTCAGGCTAATTCCTTTAGAGGCTTCAGGAGATATGCCTTACCAGTCTGTCCTCTTATGCATATCCAAACTCAAGTGCTGAAGAATTTTAGGTTTTATTGACAGTTATCTCCCAGAATTCCCCTTTCAAAAGAGGCAATATCCTTTATTCCTACTTCTTCCAAGGAAAAGAGAAACCTAAAAGAATACATCTTTTCTACCTCACTCCAATGCCTGTTGGAATACTCAATGTGAGTATTTTCACTGATTTCAATGGGCATGCATCAGGCCCCAGATACATCATAACCACTTTTTTTGCCATAGGGTTACCCTGTTACAGAGCGGTTTTTAACTAGTAAACTTTACAAAATGTCTTTTTAAATAGAAGAAAAGTGGGATTTTTTTAATTACAAATTTGAATTTGCCACTTTTCAAGCTGTAATAAGGCCAGCTGATAATGTATATCTGTTCTCAGCTGATAATGTATATCTGTTCTGAACAGACTTCTCTGGTACAGATGGCGGTTCATAGCTGTCCTCATGCCTTATCACACCTGAAATGTCAGTATCCATTTTATGACCACATCTTCCCATAAGTTATATTTTAAACACATACTATGTAGTTTGAACTGAAATTATTAGTAAACCTTCAGTTACTGTTCTTAGGATTTAAATGGTAATTCAACATATTATCACATGAGACTGAATGTACAAAGTAACCTCAGGTCAAATGCACCTCAATTAGAGTCCTATGCATAGGTGCTGGAAGTAGGGATGCTGCCGTGGTGCCGCTTTTAGCACCCTCATTATAATTGTTCCAGTACGACTGGGCGTATGAAATGTATTTTGTGATTCCTTTTTTAAATTTACGATCTTGAGGGGTTGTTGCTTTTTGCTTTGTTTTTGTTCACAAAAACATCCAGAGTGATCTAAATGCTTAGAAATGTTGTTGCTTAGAATGTACCTCTTCATTTCAATGAAGTAAAAGATTCTGTTTGGGAAGTAAAATAACTGAATCTGTTTCCACCAAAGTGTCACAGTGTATTAACTAGTGCAGAACAACTTCTTTACTTTTCAGTGTAATGTAAAAACAAAAAAGAAGCTTCTACAATTGGTGTCACTTTTCTAATCAGATCAGAGTAACATTTCAGGGTATTCACTTCTTGCTCAGCTTTCAGTTTGGAGAGGGAAATCTTCCTTGTCCCTGACCCACTCATCAGGAGTCTCTGTTCCTACAGGGGCTTTTTTGTTCTGTATTTGTGCAGCGCCTAGCACAATGGGGTCTTGGTCCATGACTGGAGCCCCTGGGAGCCGTGATAATATATATAAAAATAATAATAAGCCCTCCTACTGCAGCCATCCAACTTCCAGCCAAGGCCCGGGTGACATTAGTGATCCATAAATACTGCTCTTTAAATGGCATTAGTGGATGTTTTTGGGCAGTGTAGAACATTTCCTCCTCTTTAAGGATTGCACATATTGTTTCCATGGTGCTCCCAGCCTCCTGATAGCATAGGAAGGAAAGAATAGTAATTAAACCTATGTTTCCTCCATGACAATGCAGCAGCATCGCCAAACCAGCCTATGTCACAGTTGTCCAACTTGAGACACATTAAAGGACTCTGATTTTCACAGGATGAATGCTCAGCACTTTCTGAAAATCAGGCCCCTTTAAAGTATCTCAAGTTGGGCACCCAAAATCTTAGGCACGTTTGAAAATCTTGGCCATATTTCTTTGTGGTTTACTTCCTGATTTGTTTACTAGCAGCAGTATTGTTGAGATCAGCACAGGCTTGGCAGTAACGTTTATTAGTTAACTGGTACTGAAAAATCCAGAAGAGGGAGAATAGAATAGTGGATATTTTTATTTTTCTTGGCACCAGTTTACTGGATTTTCTTTAGTAAGTATTTGTCTCCAGGAAGACCTTTCCAATCAGATTATAAAAATAGTAAGAATATAAAAACGTTGGACCCAAATTGCAGTTCTTAACAATTGTCCTCTGTATTAAAATGAGCTCCCTCTTACTTTCTGTGCTTATAACTTAATATTTTATTTTTATTTTTCCCACAGGACTGTAATTGGAATACAAGATGGCAAGTACCAGCCACAGCACATATGTCCTTCAGCAGCTAAACAACCAAAGAGAGTGGGGTTTTCTCTGTGACTGCTGCATTGCTATCGATGATATTTATTTTCAAGCACACAAAGCGGTCCTAGCTGCCTGCAGCTCTTATTTTAGGATGTTTTTTATGAACCACCAACACACCACAGCCCAGCTGAATCTCAGCAACATGAAGATCAGTGCTGAATGCTTTGATCTCATATTACAGTTTATGTATTTAGGAAAAATTATGACTGCCCCTACCAACTTTGAGCAATTTAAAGTGGCGATGAACTATCTACAGTTATATAATGTGCCTGAATGTTTAGAAGATATACAAGATACAGACTCCTCTAATTTAAAGTGTTCATCTTCTGCTTCTAGTACACAGAATAGTAAAATGATATTTGGTGTGAGAATGTATGAAGACACACTTACTAGAAATGGCAGTGAAGTAAACAGGTGGTGTACGGAGCCACCAAGTTCAACTGTAAACACATCCCATAACAAAGAGCCGGATGAAGAAGCTTTGCAGCTGGGCAGTTTCCCTGAACAACTATTCGATGTTTGCAAAAAAAGCACCATGTCCAAATTCTCTAACACAAAAGATCGTGTGTCCCATTCACGCCGCTTTGGAAGAAGCTTTACCTGTGACAGCTGTGGGTTTAGTTTTAGCTGTGAAAAGTTACTGGATGAGCATGTGTTAACATGCACTAATAGGCATTCATACCAAAATACCAGGTTTTATGGTATTGAAAAAATTGACTTTAGTGAAAAAGACTCTACTTCTAAAATACTGTCTGCACAAACAGAGAACTATAAAGGGGATACCAGTCAAGCAGCTGATGACTCTTCATCTCCAGTGTCAAACATAACAAGCAGAAAAAGTAGTATAGTTGCATCTGAGACATCAGGTGAAGAAGGAAGTAGAGCCACTGAGAGGAAAAGGATTATCATCAAGATGGAACCAGAGGACAACCCGGAAGATGAACTGAAAGATTTTAACATTATTAAAGTGACAGATAAAGACTGTAATGAATCTACTGACAATGATGAATTAGATGATGAACAGGAAGAGCCACTTTACAGATATTATGTTGCAGAAGAGATCAATCAAAAGAGACGTTCTCGAAAAACTCTAAAACCCCGGTTGTCTATAGATGAGAATGCAAGAAAGTGTTTAAAAAACGCAAGGCATCTTAACAGGAAAGTCCCCCCAGTGCAGGAAGATGCGGAGAATGCTCCCTGTGAACTGTGTGGGCTAACAATTACAGAGGAAGATCTATCCGCTCATTATTTATCTAAACATATAGAAAATATATGTGCTTGTGGCAAATGTGGCCAAATATTGGTCAAGGGTAGACAGTTACAGGATCATGCACAGACATGTGGAGAACCCCAGGATCTGACAATGAATGGTATAAGAAATGCTGAGGAAAAAATGGACTTAGAAGAGAATCCCGAGGAACAGTCTGAAATAAGGGATATGATGTTTGCAGAGATATTGGAGGACTTCAGGGACAGTCACTTCCAAATGAACAGTCTTCCAAACAAACAGTTATATAAGAATTCTGCCTGTCCTTTCCGATGTCCTAATTGCGGTCAGCGTTTTGAAACTGAAACTCTAGTTGTTGAACATATGTCAAACTGCCTAGAGCAAGATCTGTTTAAGAATGCTATTATGGAAGAGAATGAAAGAGATCACAGACGCAAGCATTTCTGCAATCTTTGTGGGAAAGGATTTTATCAGCGTTGTCACTTACGGGAACATTACACTGTTCATACCAAGGAAAAACAATTTGTTTGTCAGACATGTGGGAAGCAGTTTTTAAGAGAACGTCAGCTGCGGCTCCACAATGATATGCACAAAGGCATGGCCAGGTATGTCTGTTCCATTTGTGATCAAGGAAACTTCAGAAAACATGACCATGTTCGGCATATGATATCTCATTTATCAGCTGGAGAGACTATATGCCAGGTCTGTTTTCAGATATTCCCAAATAACGAACAACTGGAGCAGCACATGGATGTTCATCTGTATACATGTGGAGTATGTGGAGCAAAATTTAATTTGAGAAAAGATATGAGATCTCACTATAATGCCAAGCATTTGAAAAGAACATAAGCATAAACATACTGTAAAACAAGCATTAAGTTGACAGCAGTGGGAACACCAAAGCAAGGCATACAATATAGCAGACAAAAATTGAATGATTGTTGAAAACAAGTCTTTTGTTTAAAGACCCTTTTAATCATAGGTGTCTTTGTTGTAGGGTCATTAAGTATATATCTTTTAAAAGCATCAAGTGTTTAATTATTACATTTTCACTGTTGCCTACTAGCAATTTCTGTTTTTAATTTTATTGTTTTACTAAGTAGATATGATACAAGTCATTATTTTTAAACTGTAGAGTAAAAGCACAAATGTTACCCCTTAACTGACTTCTATTAAACAGTTCTTAGTTTCATGTCCATCCGATGAGTGCTTCAGTATTTGCAGGTGTTGTTTCTTCATGTGAAATTTTAGATCATGTAGTCATTAATATGCAGGAGCATAATCATTCCTAATATCAAAATCAATTTAAAAAATGAAAACTGATGCCAAGGAATAATTCTTTGCTTTGTGACTCTGCACTCAGCACAGTGCTAGCTGTCCGAGTATTCAGATTCTTAGCATCTTTATTGAGATTCACGTCCCCAGGAATGCTGGTCAGGTTGGATAGGCTAAGTAAAACCATGCAAGACTGCAATGATATGAACAAAGGAAGAAATAGAGAATTAAGACTACAGTATATAGAGTCACAGAATTCCCATCTGAACAGTCATTTTCCATGCTCGATATTCTAGCAGAACTGAAACGGGCACTTCCGATGCAGTAATGCTTCCCTTCAGTTGCCTATCTGTATCTGCCTGAGTATTTATAACCTACTCATCACAACGGTATCTGACTGTTGAGTGTGAAGAGACTGCTGAGCTTTCTTAATAAGTGCAGCAAAGATGTTTTATGCCCTTTCAGAATCTTCTCACATACAGACCTCTTTGAATCTAGTGAAACCCTAACATATAGAGCTTATCTGTTTTATTTTAATGCAGTAAAAAACCACTGCATGTCAGCTGAGGCAACTTGGTCTTTGCAAGTACAACTGTGGGTCTGGGCTGGAATCTTAGACACCAGCTGTATAAACAAATACTAACTGCATGATTGTTAATAATGAAATCTGTGATAAGCAGTGGTGAACAAAGAGCATTTGAAAAAACAATAACAGCACCTACTTCTTATATAGTACTTTTCATCAGCAGATTTCAAAGTACTTCACAAAGAAAGTCAATACCATTTCACCATTTTACAGATGGGGAAACTGAGGCACAGAGCAGGGACGTGACTTGCCAAAGGTCGCCTAGTAGGCCTGTGGCAGAGCTGGGAATAGAATCTTGGTCTCCTGAGTCTCAGTCCAATGCTCTAGCTAGAGTATAATTGTCAGGGCTCAGTTTTGAAACCTTGCCATTTTTCAAAGACTGTGATTAATTTATAGCTCATAAAACAGAATGTCAGAATATATAAATAAATAGATAAAGTTCACCTAAAAATTGCATATAGCTACTTAATCAAATGAGAATTTTCAGATACTATATCAAATTTCTGCTTTTATATTCAATTTTAAATGAGTTTTAGGTTTGTAAACAAACATAATGTGAATGTCTATCAAGCAGGAGCCGATACACTGAAGGAAAAGGAAAACCTGGGTCCTGGACCTGTTATCAGACCTGAGCACCTGGATCCAGTTATAGCATTGGGGCTTCAGCATTTCACATACAAAAAGTACTGTAACAACTTAATCCTGCATTTCTTTTATCCCACAGAAGTCAATGACAGTGGCACTGAACAGCACCCCTAACATTAATGCAAGCTAGTGTTTCCATTATTCCAAAGATTTGGGTGGTGGTGTTTTTTTTCAGAGATTTATAATACTTCCATCCCAAGCTACATTGATCTGAAACGTAATATATCAGTCCAGAGAACAACCAGGTTGGCCGGTTTAAATGTTTTTGTGTCAGTGATTGGTTGTCAGGGGGTGGCTGAGAGAACCCGCCAACTTGTACATTGGAAAACGAAATTTCAAAGTAGCTAGTAGAATGGTGTTTGAAAAATAATTACTGATCAATGAGACATTGTAATGGCAATATTTTTATAAAATGTTTAGGTCACCTACAGATTCTCAGACATTGGAGTAACCTCTTGATATATAAACTCCAACGGAGCTGATAGAGCAGCCCAGGGCACTAAGAGAGAACTTGTGTGTGCAGCTGAGTTGAAAGAAGAGTATTGTGGTCTGGGGTGTGCTGAGAGATTTGGAATGCTGTGGGGGATGCCAGGCAAAGATTGGAACAGCACAGGAGCAGAGACCAAATTAGAATAGCGTAGTGGGAAGTGGAGGGCAAAAAATCCCAAAGGAGGGGGAGTGGATAAAATGTCCCACTGATGCCTGAAGGAACAGAGAGTGAGTGTGACTCAACTTGGCTGGGAAAGCTGTCAGCCTGGATTACTAACTCACTGTGGCATCAAACTCTTATTGCAGTTTGTGTACTAAGTATAAAACAGACTTTTGTGCTGGGTGGGCTGTTGTGGCACAGCAAAGCTTAGATAAAAGATTGCACTGGGCCAGAGGACTGAAAATGAACCAGAAAATTTAGAGGATGAAACACAGTAGCTAACCAATTGTCCCAGAATACACTGAAGAGCTAAAAGAGTGATTCAGAGACCCCTCTGCTTTGGGTCAGGAGCCATGTTTGATATGTGTTAGCCTGAACCTGTTAAAACCATGTTTTATACAGTCAGCAAACACAGTTTGATACCTAGTGTGGATGGGCCACAATGGCAGAGGAGGTTTTAAGCTGTGAATTGAATTGTTCTATTGTACATACTATGTTTTTTCAGCGATTCCCCAGAATACCTGTTTTCCCATTGTAAGCTGTATTGTAGTGACCTTTCCCTTCTCAGTGAGGGCTGTCTTCAGTTCTCTCTAAAGCCATCCAACACCTCTCTTTCAATCAGAGGAGTTTGCTGGAGGATGATTTGTTGCACTCCCCGCTTTTACCAGCTTGGGCAGTGGAAGAACCAGAATTCCTGAGTTTACAAGTATGTGCACTGGAAATAATGCTCACTTTGTGATCCAGGAGAGTGAATTGGAGCATCATGGAGAAGTTTAGAGAGGATCAGGCAAAGAGGCACAGAATGGTTGGAAAGGTCCAAGAGGGAATGAAAAGAATCAAGAGTACCTGTGAACAAATCAAAGGCAATAAGGACAAATCAGGGAGTACTAACTGGGCTGTGGGAGAGATGGGGAGAAACACTGTTGTAGTGATACATGAAAGCAGGTATGAGAACCGCATGAGAAAGTTGAGAGAAAGGCCTGGAGTGCCTGATAGAGAGGATTAGGATGGCAAGAGAAAAAGATTGAAATCGTGCCAATGAGACAACGGAGTGGGTGAAAGGGAGCTAAACAAGAGTGTGCAGACCATTTAATAATGCTGTCTAAGGGCAGTGGAATGTTCTTCAGAGAACATAATGATATGGATGCAGTAAATACAAAATTACCATGTTCCTGCTCCCCCACAGTGGTAGTCTAGTGTTTTAAAAAAATACCCCATTAAAGAGACAGATGCTCAAAAAGCAAATACAGTACTAAAGAATGTTGAAACACTTTCAGTAAAATAAAAACACATCCCTGGAAATCTCATTGTTACTTGAAAGACAGTGAAGGAGGAGCAGAAATCCTTGATGTAGAGTTCTGTTTATCACACTTGTCGTTTTATTCTTCTCGCCATAGTTTCTCTGTATCCACTTCCGATACTAACTGGAATCCAATTCATGTTTAGATTGTATATATGTAATTCTCTAAATTGCTTGGGATCTTCGCAGGCGCTATATACATCTAGGACCATGTTTTAGAAAATACTAATAGTTAATTATTTTTCCAAAGAGAAATGAGCCTCTCTTGAGTCTCTGCCTCTCCCACCCCTGTATCTTCGGGTGCTTTGTTATTCCTATGTCCAGTGATTTCTCGCTGTTCTCCTGCTGCTGCTTTCCACATCCTGGCAGTCGTGTGGGCTGCAACTTTGAAAAACATTTTACTGGCAACCACATCTCTGCTCTCAGGACTTACTTAGAGCTAAACAGGGAGTTTGTAATGATCTGGAATGAGCTTTTAAATAGAACAAATGCTGTTAAGCCAGCTGTAGTTTTGGTACTGCACAGTCAGTTTCACATTTTTAAGAACTTGTTTTTAAAGGTTTCCTTGCAGCTAAGCTATTAATTTAAAGACCTGAGAGGAATGGTTCTTACACATGGATCTGACTCGTACCCATGATTAACAACTCTCTATCTCTGTATACATACCCACTCTCTTGATATGGGGAAAAGCCACCAGATCTACATAAGGTCAGAGAGACCTGTACATAATCCCTTTCTCTATTCAATTTACCCTTCAGATATGGTCTGGGGAGCCTTTTTTGTTCTCTTGATATATGCTGGATAGCATCCCCCCCACCAACACACACACATTCACTCAGTGGGAAGGGGAGGTTTTCATCCCCTACAACTCTGATGGCATAACTGTTGAGGCTCAGAGGGGATAAATACCTTATGGAAGTTAAGAAGATCCATGCAATAGCGGCTTCATATCTGTTAGTTGCAAAATAGGGGCTCGCCTATCTAATAGGGGTTAAGATACCTTATGTGTGATGCTGTTGCAAAAAAAGCAAACAT